GACACAGCCGACTGCCCTCAGGGACCCAGCCCCCTCCAAACTCACATGACACATTGAGCCGGATGGTTCTCTCCATGGTCACTTGATCTCCTTGGAGTTCCACACGGCAGGTGAGGTTGGTGCCATGGTCCTGGGGCCTCGGGGTGAAGATGAGCACCCAGGAGTGGAGGGTCTCTGGGTCCATGGCATCAAGGGCATCCCCCGCCCAGGAGAATGAGAAAACTGTTCCCCAACCACAGACTACTGACGGGTGGCAGGTCAGTTTCGTGGGGCGGCCGGACTCCAGAGCCTCCAGAAAATGGATGTCAGGTTTCTCTGTTGGGGCTGACGAGAAGAGAGGGAGATGCCTGGGCCCCAGGGGGGTGGGGGCCCAGAGTGTGACCCTGAGAGGGACCAGTGCTTAGAGCCACAGCTCACCCCGGGTCCTGTGTCTCTTCTGAACCCCTAAACCCCAAGACCTGGAGCGGGGAGTGGTCCTGTGTCCTGCTCCTGTTCTAATACGGGAGTCTCCACACCCCAGGGTCCTCTCCTGGGCCCCCGCCATACCTGTCACCTGCAAATTCAGTTTCTTATCCCTGTAACTGTATTTCACATCATCCCCCTCCACTCGGAAGATGTAGACTCCTGTGTCGCTCATCCTGGCATCTCTGATGTTCAGGGAGCAGTTCTTTTTCCTGCGGTCCCGGACGAGGTGGAATCGGCCCTGGGTCTCTGGCTTCACTTGTCTACCTGGGTTGTCTGTGGCCACAGGATCACTGTGTATGTTGTCCCCTTCCCGGAACCAATAGATGAAGGGTTCTCCATAGGAGTACCACAAACTCCGAGGGTAGGAAAAAGAGCAGGGCACGTGGACACCCAGGCACGCCTGCACCGTCACTGATTCCTGCACTCGGAGCCAGTACCCCTGGTCCTCCTGCAGGGACCCTGAGGGACACAGAGGCTCCGCTGAAGCTCCAGCCCCTCCCCCACCCTTGCTGCCCCTCCTCCCTCGGCCCACTCACCCCCCCAAAGCAGGGACAGCAGCAGCAGTGGCACCATGTCCGCGTCCGCCAGCGCAGAGCCCGGGTCCAAGTGCCTCTGTCAGGGAAGGAAGCGCCGCGAATGTGGGGAGCGACCGAGGAAGCCCCAACAGGAAGCCAGTGGGTGACAAGAGACAGTCTTGGCCAAGCAGAAGGGGAACTTGGACGCCACAGGCCACAGGAGGGGGAAGGTCAGGCTGGGAAATCATCCTGTTTCCCTCGTCTCTCCCATTTGCAGCTGCAGACTGTGAGCTACTGAAATGTGGGGCTTGTCTAGGCTCCCAAGGCCCCACAGCTGTGGCCCTTCCCCGTGCACTGTTGTCTACACAGGGAAGAGAGCATCACCTGTCCAGCTCCCTGGGGATCAGAGCCTCTGGGAGGTCAAAGAGCAAATTCATTATCACATGTTGAAGGGAGCCCAGGCTGAGGGTCCAGGTGATGGAGGCCTGCCCCCAAGTCAGGAGAAAGGTAAGTTCTCAGCAACAAGCATGTCAGTTGGACATGACTCGGTCCACAGTGGTCACAGAGCTGTGGTCGCCACCTGAGACGCTGGAGCCTCCTGACCCCATGGAGTTAGGTCCCTGTTCCCATCACTGTCCTCGTCCCAGGCAGCCTCAGACTCTGGTCCTGGTGTTGATGCCCAAAGCAGACCGAGCTCAGGGCGTTTCGAATGCGGGAGTTGAAGGCAAGGAGTGCCCGGGTTGGAACCCAGACACCTGCCTACCTACCAACTCACCTGCCACCTGTTCAACTTTACCAAAGTTACTTAGCCTCTCTGTGCCTCAGTTTGCTCATCTGAAAAACAGAGACACTGGCAGAAATGCTGTGTGACGATTAAATGAGTTCATATGTGTCAAGTGCTTAGGACACAGCCTGGCACTGATACTCACTCATTCAACTAAGGCTTTGAGGACACCTGCTGTGTGCCATGCCCCCATGTAGGGGCTATGTAGGGGCTGGAGATACAACACAGGATAAGCTCCTAGGATGGAAAAGGTGAGTCAAAAATCTGAGTGGGTAGACTAACATTTAATAAGAAAATTAAGATACACAGTCTCAGGGCTTCCCTAGTGGCGCAGTGGTTGAGAGTCCATCTGCCAATGCAGGGGACGCGGGTTCGTGCCCCAGTCCGGGAGGATCCCACATGCCGCGGAGCGGCTGGGTCCGTGAGCCATGGCCGCTGGACCTGCACGTCCGGAGCCTGTGCTCCACAACGGGAGAGGCCACAACAGTGAGAGGCCCATGTACCGCAAAAAAATAAAAAATGATACACAGTCTCTTGGAGAATGATGTAGTCTAAGGAAACAATTAAAAACAGGAAAGCAGGAACTCCCCTGGTGGCGCAGTGGATAGGACTCCCTGCTCCCAATGCAGGGGGCCCAGGTTCAGTCCCACAGGGAACTAGATCCCACATGCATGCCACAACTAAGAGTTCGCATGCCACAACTAAGAGTTCACGTGCCACAACTAAGGAGCCTCCCTGCCACAACTAAGACCCCGTGCAACCAAATAAATAAATAAATAAATAAATATTGAGAAAAACAGGAAAGCAGAAGAGGAATTGTTGAGAACTGCTGAAAGTTTTTAAAACGTGGCTGGGGCAGGCCTCATGGAGAGGGTGACATCTGAGTAAACACAGGAAGAAAGTAAGAGAATGACTCCTATGGTTATCCAGGCAAAAGTGATCCACCCCGAAGGAAGAGCGCATTCAAAAGTCCCAAGGTGGGAGCATGTGTGGTGTGTTTAGCAGCAGCTGGATGACAGGGTAGCAGAGTGATTAACGGGATAAATAAGGAGAGTAGGTCTGAGAGGTATCATAGGTCAGATTATGAAGAAATTTTGAGACTATTGTAAGAATTTGGCTTTTACTCTGGGTGTATTAGGATTCTCTAGAAACAGAACCAACAGCATGTGTATACATATATAAAGAGATTCATTATAAGGAACTGGCTCGTGTAATTACAGAGGTTGACAAGTCCCAAGGTCTGTGGTCAGCAAACTGGAGACCCAGGAGTGCTGATGGTGTGGTTCTAGTTTGAAGGTATGCAGGCTTGAGACCTAAGAAAAGCTGTTGTTTCAAGTTCGAAGGGTGGAAAAAAACTGATATCCCAGCTGGAATGCATTCAGGCAGGAGGAGTTCCCTTACTCATGGGCGGGTCAGCCCTTTTCTTCTATTCGAGCCTTCAACTGATTGGATGAGGCCCACCCACATTCGGGAGAGCAATCTGCTTTACTCGGTCTACTGATTTAAATATCAATCTCATCCAGGGTGTGTGTGTGTGTATATATATATATATATATATACACAATGGAATACTACTCGGCCATAAAAAAGAACAAAATTTTGCCATTTGTAGCAACATGGATGGACTTGGAGGGCATTATGCTAAGTGAAATAAGTCAGACAAAGAAAGACAAATACTGTATATCACTTATATGTGAAATCTAAAAAATAGAACAAACTAGTGAATATAACAAAAAAGAAGCAGACCCACAGACATAGAGAACAAGATAATGGTTACCATTGCAGTGGGATATAGAGGTGGGGGAGTGGGTTCGAGCCCTGGTCTGGGAAGATCCCACATGCTGCAGAGCAGCATGCCCGTGCGCCACAACTACTGAGCCCGTGAGCCACAACTACTGAGCCTGCGTGCCACAACTACTGAGGCCCGCACGCCTAGAGCCCCTGCTCCGCAACAAGAGAAGCCACCACAATGAGAAGCCCGTGCACCACAACAAAGAGTAGCCCCCACTCACTGCAACTAGAGAAAGCTGGTGTGTGGCAACAAAGACTCAACGCAGCCTAAAAAAAAAAAAAGGATGTATTATGCAATATGGAAAATATAGCCAATATTTTGTAATAACTGTAAATGGAAAGTAACCTTTAAAAATTGTATTAAAAATTTTAAATTTTTTCAATAAATAAAATAAAATTAAAATGTAAACAAAACAAAACTCAAACAAACAAATATCAGTCTCATCCAAAAACACCTTCACAGAAACACCCAGAATAATGTTTGACCAAATGTCTGGGCACCTCGTGGCCCAGCCAAGTTGACACATAAGATGAGTCATCACACTGAGTGAGTTGTTATGATTTCAACAGCGATACTGATGTGTGTGTGTGGTTTTCTTCCACATCACCAAGCAATTAACTCAATTCTGACACCATCTCCCTAAAGATAGCATCAGATCCCACAGGTTAAGGGCTCAGTCCCACAAAACCGCCTCAACTTCAGACACCAATTACAAGTCCAGGTTGTCACCTGTGCTTCTGATCCACTGGCTATAGATCAGAGGTTCCCATGATTTCCTCCTTGGGTTCCATTGATTTGCTAGAGCAACTCACAGAACCCAGAGAAACCAGTTTACTTACTATCTTACCAGTAATCTAGGTTACTAGATTATTACAAAGGATATTAAAGGATACAAATCAACAGCCAGATGAAAAGATGCATAAGGCAAGTTATGCAGGAAGGGGCATGGAATTTCCATGCTCTCCTGGGTACACCATTCTCCCTGAATCTCCACCTGTTCACCAGCCTAGAATCTCTCCAAACCCCATGCTTTTGGGTTTTTTGGAGACTTCACTACATAGTCATGATTGATTAAATCAGTGGCCACTGATCATTGATTCAACCTCTGGGGTCCTCTCTCTTCCCTAGAGGTCAAGGGCATGGGACTGAAAGTTCCAACTTTCTAATCACCTCTAGGGCTTCCCTGGCAACCAAGCCCCATCTTAAGTGCTTCTCAAAAGCGGCTTCATTAAAATAACACAAGACCCCTTTATCACTCTCATTACTTAGGAAATCCCCAGGTTTTTAGGAGCTCTGTGCCAGAAACAGGGATGAAGACCAAACATATATATTTCTTATTATAAATCACAATATCACAGATGTGGAGGCATTTCAGGGCTTGAGCAGAAAAGGGTCAGGCTCTGATTTGCTTTCACCTGATCACTCTACTTGCTGTACTGAGCCTAGACTCCTCCGCCAGGGCTGTTGCAAATGCCTGGGATGTGAGATGGGGGTGGCCAGGTCAGACCAGGTGGAGTTGGTGAGAAGCAGACCAGAACCTGAACGCCAGAACCCTTTCAGAACCAAAAGGTCTGTTGTCCAGGAAGATCTGGAGCTGAAGCACCCGTTATATACACCTTACCACAAATGGCCTCCAATCCAGACCTCCCCTATCATTGGTTCTGCATACCAACCTCCTCCCCTAATTCATAAAACTTTGACCAAACCCAGCTTGGGAAGACAGATTTGAGCTTTACCTCCTGTCTCCTTGCTGGTTGACCACTCAGTAAAGCTTTTTCTTTTCTCGAAATCTGGTGCCATCATATTGGCTTCTAGGTGCATCGAGCAGTGAGCACTTCGCTTGGTAACAGTTGCCGACGTGAAGCCACCATGGCCGCAGAGGCAAAGACTTTAAGGGATTTTTAAAAAATATTTATTTATTTATTTTGGCTGCTCCGGGTCTTAGTTGCGGTCTGCGGGATCTTAGTTCCCTGACCAGGGATCGAACCCGGGCCCCCTGCATTGGGAACATGGAGTCTTAACCACTGGACCACCAAGGACATCCCTAAGGGATTTTTAAAGAAGAGGATTGGGCGCTCTACTGGGAACGTGTGGAGTGAGAAATGCATATTAGACACACAAATGGAGAATCAACAGAAGGTGCTCATTCTATGAGTCTGGAGTTTAAGGAAAAGTTCTAGCTGGACAAACGAACTTGGCCTGTCACCACGCAGACAGCATTTCAAGTCATGAGCCTAAGAGAGATCAGAGAGGGAGTGAGTTTAATTGGAAAAGATAAGGGAGTTCCCTGATGGCGTACTGGTTAGGACTCCAGGCTTTCGCTGCTGTGGCCCACGTTTGGGGAACTGAGATCCCGCAAGCTGCAATGCGCGACCAAAAAAAGGAAAAAAAAAGAAAAAGGAAAAGAGATGGGGACCATCTCCAGGGGCTCTATGAGGTGCATATCAGACCCAGATTCCTGCT